TTTGGTCTCATTACACCTTTTCCTTTCATGGCATATCGAAGTATATCGCGGTTGAATGTACAATTTACTCCAGAAAATTCGAAAGTTAAATAATACACGTAAAACGAGTAAAAATTTTTTTTTTAAACACAGCAAAAAAATTTAATTTTTTAAAAATATTTCTCTTATAACAACTACAAAACTTTTTTTTTTATATTCTTATGTTATTTATCTTTTAAAAATATTTTTAATTTATCTTTGAAGCAGTGCAGGAAAAATTTTTTTAAAACTTTTCGGAAATGCTTTGAAATAAATGTTAACTATTATAAATAAAATCGTCTGTAACTTTTGCTCAAAACAGTACTTTAAAATTTGAGTAATACATAATTTAGTATAACTATTTTAATAGTATAGAAAATTCTAAGGATGAAGCGACGAATTATTTAGTCTTTTAGCTCTTCTAGTGACAGCAAAACCTTTAGAAACGTTAAAAAGTAGTTGGGGGAGACTTGGAGGTGTCTAATGAGGCTTGTGATTATGGCTTCCGATCAAACGATCGAGCCAATGATGATAAGCTAGACATGTGGATAATTCAGTCACGATCTGTTTGCCAAAACGAACCACACTTCTTTGTCTTGCCTCAGTCGATCTCACTTCAACATCTGATTCAGGATGAATTTACTTCAGACACTTCTGTCCATTTTCTACCCCCAATTCTTAGCTTTGATTCAGCAGTTCGATTGGTTGGGTTATCAGAACAAGGGTGTCGTGCTCGTAAAAAGTCTCAACGAGCCCTTCGACCCCGCGACATTTTTTCTCAGTTTTTCGTCTGTTTTTTACTTGTAAAGTAGTATTAGCTAAAAGTTCATCCAATAATGTATTAAAACTTTTGTAGTGTATTTTGTATATTTTCAAATTTGTTTCTACGTTTATAGTCATTTTAGTTTGTATGACATTATAGGCACTGTTGAATAATTTCCAAGTAAAAAAAGTATTGCCACAGAGCACCATGGCCGCAGCGTTTGGGGCTAAATTTTGCAAAGACGGAGATGCTCTTCAAAACTTATGTACTTCGTTGATTTCTACAATTGGACTAGACCCACTCCGACTGAATCGAGTAAATATTTAGTATAAAATTTGATTTGACTTAGTAAATCATCATCAAATAATTGTTGTCATTCAGTGTGATGTTTAGTAGAATTGGAAATTGACTGGTTTATTTAATTTAGTATTCAACTTTATTGATTTTTATGGATAATTTGATATTAATATCTCTGCTACAGTTTAGGACTAAAACAAATCTGAGGGATTACAGTTTATAATATTTTTATGTATAATTGTGGTTACCAATCAAAATGTCAATCGTTTCAGACGGCTATACTCAACATTTTAGCACATTTTCCAGCTGGAACCTCTGTAATTACTGTCTATAGCTACAACCAAAATTACAAAATGAAAAAATTTCAAGCTTACGACTATGGTGTTAAAGATAATATGAGAAAATATGGTCAAAAAACACCTCCTGTCTACGACCTATCCAAAGTAACAGCCCCTGTTTCAATATGGTACGCCAAGAATGACGATATAGTCAACTACAAGGTATACTTGTCTTTTTTCTGAACGATATATTATAAACTAGCAATAAATTTACCGAAATTATGAGTCTTCCTTTTCTTAGAAATTACGGAGTTTAACTGGTTGATGATTCAAAGTTTCGTTAATGAAACAGATGAATTCTTGTTTTATTCGCAAATTTTTTTTTTTTTTTTTTCA